AATGCGCTCAGAAATCACACAAAGCGTCAGAAACATAATTCGTTTTGAAATTCATAACTATTATTTATTAAAAAAAATACTCTTGATATATTCTGCAGCACTCTTTGCTGACGTACATGATGTTTCACAGTTCAGGGACATGTTATTCACACATATCAGGTAACATGTAAGTTTGATGAGATGCAGGACCTTCCGCAGACAGCAGTACACGGTACCCATCACCCATAGGTAGAATATTAACAAGTTACATTATACAGGAAGGATCGTTGCACCGAAAGCACCCAAAATACAGGCCGATTGATTTAACAAATTGGATTTTCTATATTAGAAGCTGGCCACGGTTAGTGCCATTTTTGTAAGGATTCGCCTAATATTCCTTATTACTATTGATCATAAATAATGTCCCTACTCTTCGATCATTTTAATTAAAAAAATCCTCTAAATAGTCGAATAATATCCAAAAGCAGCTTTGTGGAATTTTTCCATCTATGGCCAACCATAGTAAAGCGCCATCTTGTTTAATTCTTGTGTAACATCTTCCTAGACTTCTGGAACTGGGAGACAACGAGGGGGAGAAAGGTGAATCGGTTACCTGAGCTCCCACTAAACGCTGCGGGTTCCCTCACTACATAGTGAACACCCTCCCCAAATAGTCACACAGCCATGGAAGTTGGAGCTTTCGACCTGGATTCTTTAGGCAGCAAAAGCAGGAGGATCAGAACGAAAAGCCAGGGAGCGAGCACTTCCACAGGACACTGGCAATTGAAGCTTGGGTGTTATACAGAAACGGGTTCACTTTAAGATAAAGTCAAGCCATATAAGGACAAATCTGGTTGCTATCCATGGAGAATGGCAAATCTGACACATGTGGGCATCTTGAGCAAGTGCTGGAGCCCCAAATTGTGCAGGTGGCAATTAAAGCAACTGTGTGAAGGCTGCAAATGGACGGCAATAGGCTTCTTGCACAACTGTACCTTTCAAGCATTCAGTATCAGTGGACATCTGGCAGTTTAGAAAAATCAGCAAGGGCATGTCTGAGTCTATTATTCACAGAAAAGGTCACGTCATTTTTCCGATAACCTACCCTTGCATGTGCACTCTTGGCTCACCAACAGTATAGTCCTGGATAGAACACAGCCCTCAAGGACAAGTGTTGGACAGCTCTGATACAGTATAGTCTTAACAGAGTAGAGTCCTGGACAGTACACAATCCTTGAGGACTTTAGCTAGACAACCCCAATACAGTATAGTCCTGGACAGTACACAACCCTAGAGCACTGGAGTTACACAGGCCTAACACAGTATAGTCCTGGACAGTACACAATCCTAGAGCACTGGAGTTACACAGGCCTAACACAGTATAGTCCTGGACAGTACACAATCCTAGAGCACTGGAGTTACACAGGCCTAACACAGTATAGTCCTGGACAGTACACAATCCTAGAGCACTGGAGTTACACAGGCCTAACACAGTATAGTCCTGGACAGTGCACAATTCTAACGCACTGGAGTTGGACAGCCCTCATAAATAATAGTCCTGAACAGTACACAATCCTAACGCACTGGAGTTGGACAGCCCTCATACAGTATAGTCCTGGACAGTACACAATCCTAATGCATTGGAGTTGGACAGCCCTCATACAGTATAGTCCTGGACAGTACACAATCCTAATGCACTGGAGTTGGACAGCCCTCATACAGTATAGTCCTGGACAGTACACAATCCTAATGCATTGGAGTTGGACAGCCCTCATACAGTATAGTCCTTGATATAGTCCTGGACAGTGCACAATTCTAACGCACTGGAGTTGGACAGCCCTCATACAGTATAGTTCTGGACAGTACATAATCCTAGAGCACTGGAGTTGGACAGCCCTAACAAATATAGTCCTGGACAGTACACAATCCTAGAGAAATGGAGTAGGACAGCCTTAACACAGTATAGTTCTGGATAGTACACAGCCCCTAAAGACAGGAGGTGGACAGCCCTCATACAGTATAGTTCTGGATAGCACACAACCCTAACACAGTACAAATATCAATGGTACATTCAACTTATGCTTCTGGCTGCCCTACTAACAAATCTCTATGGCCTGTGTAACTCTGAACGTTTGATCTATGCCAATGAAGCAAAAAGGAATGTTCTTAGTATATTTTCTTTCCAGGTCAAATGTAATATTGGGAAAATACTGAATTTGGCCACTAGATGGAGGTGATGAGCAAGGGAAATAAATACTTTTCTTATACTTCTCAGCGCCATCTAGTGGCCACCATGCAGTACTTTTCTAATACTACATTCTACTTTGAAAGAAATACAAAGAATGTTCTTTTTGCCTTCATTCGCACAGTACAAGTGTTCACAGAGTTTCGCAGGATGAATGGCGCTGCAAATGGTCTATAAATACACCCCACAAGTAAAAGCTATAAAAAGAAAAGATCGGCATTTTGCATAAGACACCACAATTATAATGTAAAGCTGAACTCCAGGTACATATACAATATGGATATCAATGAAGCTATAGAACTAGATGAAGTACCTGAATTGGATTTGGTATCATCGGCTTTCAATATTTATTTTTTGCATCGGTGCATTTAGATGTTTGCCTGCAGTTCAGCTTTAGGAATATGCAGACTTGCACAGGACCAATTGTGACTGGCTGCCATTAAAGACTATCTCGCCAGTGACCGACAGTTTGTACACGTCAGCCATATTCTTTTCCTACAAAGGAACTCGTTTTTTAGCTCTAAGGACCCTTTAAAAAAAAAAAAGATAAAGTCATCTTGGCAGGCCGCTCTGTAATATTGTCATCAGTGGCAGTTATGAAAAGGCCACCTCGCCAATAAAACTATACGGCTGAAATTAACTGGCTCCACCTCTCGTTCAACCCATCACAGGCATCATAAAAAAATACGAGCGCATTTATTAATATTCGGCCTGCTCTCGCTCGCTCTAAATCTTCCTTGTCCTTGGTCTTTTTCCACTGCTGGCACCGGCAGCCAGACTGGTCCCCGGCAGCGTAGTGCCAGTCCTGGGTATTAATGAGAAACGGGCTCGGGTGGGGGGGTTCGTTGGCACCAGATGGAAAGCTCTACACAGCTGCTCGTCTCCTCTTTCATGTGTGGTGGGAGAAGTCTGTGGAGGGCCCGGTGCTCCAACTTTGAAGCCGCCGTTATGCAAATGGTGCAAATTCACAGCCAGACACAGGCTCGTGCGCTCGGATCTCTGTATTGTAATATTCATCAGATCTTTTATTAAAAGGCCTGAAAAATAAAACTAGTTGAGGGTTGCTTTTGAACTGAAATAGTTAAAATGAAGCTGTTAAAGAGAACCTGTCACGCAATACGTAGGCCGTCGGTGCTGAGTTGCTTATGAAAATACTGCTTGCTTGGTTATTTTAAACTAATGTGCAGATTAGGGAACACAGTGACTTTGTGGTCTGCCTTGCAGCACTAGGGTCCTCTTCCTGGTCAGGACACTCTCTGCATGGAGTATGCATGTTCTCCCTGTGCTTGCATGGGTTTCCATCCTGGTTAATTGGCCCTGTATGCGTGTGAGATAGGGGCCTTAGATTGCAAGCTCCTTGAGGGCAGAGATTCGTATGAATGAAGGTCATCTCTACATAAATAAGTGAAATAAATAAGAGTTCTGACTTCACTGGCTGCATACATATTCCAGGTCAGCATAACAAGCAAGCAATTTCAAAAAAGTGGTCAGTAATGTCAGCCAAGTATTTCTTCTATGACAGGTTCCCTTTGAAACGAAGCTTGCACATGCAGGGCTACAGAACAAGATCATTTTACAGCCAGCCCCCGCAACATCTTACACATAACTTCCCTTCCATTCTCTCCCCTGTCACTCCATTTACTGACAGGAGTTAAAAGGAGAACTATGGGGAGAGTGAAATGAACTCGACCGCATAGAGCCAGTGTAGGATGCTGAAGCTGTCACACGTCAGCTCTATAGATCGAGAATTGTGCGATCACATACCGCTTATCGCTCAGTTCATGATCTTGTCTCTCGGCAGAGAGCTGTGACTGTCAGTTACCACTCCCCGCAGGGATTCCCCCCATCTTATTGTTTGGGGGGACAGACAGGGGAGGGGACAGGCACAGCTGGCTCTAGAGAGGTAGAGCTAGCTGTCAAACAGATAGCGGGGTGGATCCTGACAATATTGTTGGGATCCTTCCCGGCTGCAGCGCGGGTCTGTGCTGTCAGCATATAGGTGGCAATAGCCCGCTATATACCGAGTTTGGGTCACAGGAGGACATTAGTAAATGTTCTCCTGTGAGCAAAAAAAAAAAAGGTTGGGCCACTCTTGCCATAGAAGAAGCCCTGGGTAAGTTCAGAGTCAATCTTATTCAGAGCTTACACAGGTTTGAGGATTCCCTCTTCGCCCCCATGTGACGGCCATTCTGTAGGCACCAGCACAGTCATGCGAGAGAAAGAAGAGAAGAGTAAATCACATGATCCGGTTTGCTTCTGGCAGAAAATGATTGGGAGGGGATGCAAAAGGATGAGGAGCAGATGCAAAAAGAAGGTTGGGCATCAAACTGAACACGTCGCTTACTCTGCATGGAAAGAAGAGGCTCATTTTACAATTTTTTTGCAATAACCATAATAAAAGAAACACGCTTCATATTAAAAAAAAAAAACAGATTGGAACAATGCTGCCATACGTCATCATCAGCATGTCAGAGCTGAACCAGGAAAAATAAAAAAAATCCCACCTCCAATAAAGCAACAGAAGCTTCCCCTATTCTGTTTAATGTAAAATGTCAATCAGCATGATGTAACCGAACAGCGGGCACAGGCACATTTCAGGGTGTCAGGCCACAGCTGACCTATATTGGGCTCCTCCCCATTGGAGGGGAAAGCCATAAGTGTTAACTGGTTAGACTTAGTGATGTGAACAGTGCTGCAGTTTAAAGCACCAGATCCCTTCTCCATGACATCGGAGTTCTCTTTTATATGACACAGAAGTGAAGGCAGTGAGACGTACTCCATCCTGTCTGTCTTTTAATACACCCTCGTACTCCAATAAAATCTTCTCCCTTCCATCATCAATAAAATATGAGTCAATGTTACAAATTTCTAGTAAAAAAAAAAAAGTTACAATATAATTAGATAGCTGATAGAGTGAATGAGGTCTGAATACGACATGTGACGGCTCCCGGTGAAGGATATCAGTGGGACGGCTTTTTGGATCCTTTGCCAAATTTGGCATCCAGTCCTAGACCTGCGGGAAAACAGAACGCAATGCAGTGAGCGTGACATGACAGGAAGAGAGTGGGCATAACACGTGCGCTATACAGTCATATACTATGAGTACATGGCTATGGCTCATTGTCGCAGGGTGACTGCCAAGTCCGACTGGCAAAACAATACTAAACCCCCCCCCCCTCTGATCCTGATCACTTAGCAACAAGGCGATGATGTGAGCACATGGTCATCCTTCTTATAAACAGTAAAAGGTAATTCCTTTTGTTTAGATGGTTTTCAGAGATACAGCAGGATCGGTCAACAATTACAATCTATAGGTACCTTATGTCAATGGAGCTACCTAGGGAAATTAGAAGGTGGCTGAGCTGAGCTCTCTCATACCAACAAGTTTACTGAAACAAAGTAGGGATGCACGATACCGAGTATTTGGGCGAGTACTCGTACTTGGCCAAATACTCCGATACCTGTACTGCTCCAGTACTGCGGTACTGGAGCTGTAGTGTCGGGGGAGCATGGATCAAGCTTCCTTTCCAATCAGGAAGCCGGACGGTGGGTTATGACCCCCCCTCCCGGCTTTCCGATTGGTCAGGAAGCCATGCTGCCTAGCCAATCAGGAAGCCGGACGACACCTCATAACTCGGCGCCCGGCTTCCTGATTGGTCAGGAATCCAGGCAGCCTCAGACGCCGGTGTTCTTTCGCTAGAACACTGGCTTCAGGAAGCCAGGCGACGGGTCATGATCCACCACCCGACTACCTGATTATCAGGGCACAAGGCACCGGTTTTCGGTATCGGCGAGTACCGAAAACAAAATATATCGGTACTCGATATCGAAAAACTGGTGCATCCCTAAAACAAAGGACAAGGCCAAAAGAGAAAATCAGGAAACAGAGTGCAGTGTTGGTACCAGCTCATCATGCTTACAAATGGCTTTCTAACCCTTCTTTTTGGTGTCTTGTAGCATACACGGGCACCCGATCCAGCCAAAAACAGAAGCTTGGGAAGACAGCCACCCTTTGTTCACATATACTTTAAGGTACATCTAAAGCCAAAATGTTTCTTTTAGCTTTGGATAGTCAAGTTTTTTCTATTGCTGATTTGAGTCCTGTTAGATTTTCCTTCACTTCCTGTATCCAGCCACACCAGGAAGTGAAAGGAGCTCTCTACAAAGTTTAGGGTATCTTCTCAGACAGGGAACAAGTGTCTCCATTGGAAGGTTGACCCTCCATTCCTGTTCTAGTGACAACCCAAAATTTGGGATTGTCCCTCACTTTCAGTCCTGGTGACAAAATGGTCACCAAGACAAACTGCTTGAGTCCTGTTAGACTTGGATAGCCAAGTTGTTTTTATTGCCGTTTGAGTCCTGTTAGATTTTCCATCACTTCCTGTATCCAGCCACAAGAAGAAGTGAGAGGAGATATCTCCAAAGTAAGGTATATCTTCTCAGACAGTTGTCAAGGGAACGAGTGTCTCCATTGTGAGGCTGACCTGCTATTCCTGTTCTATTAACAACTTAACAATGCTCACCAAGACAAAAAGAGAGAATCTCCTTAGAGGTAATGCAGACAGCAATAAAACAGCTGACCAAAGTTCTAAGCCTTCATCGCTCTATTCACAAATGGAACAAAAATAGACTTAAATGGAACGCATCTGACATTGCAGTGATTTTAACTCAAGCAGGAACAGGGAGAAGAAGCCCACCTTGTTTCAGTCCTTGTCTGCAGTGATGATGCAGACAGGAGGAGTGAAAATAATGCAATATTTATACTGTCCTAAGCCTGTGAGGACGGCTCTCCATGCACAGACAAAACAAAAATAGAGGTGATAGGTTGATATTTGTAATAGTTACTTGTTGTCCCTGTATGTATTAAGAGTGAATGCATTTTTTTATCCACATATTAACATCAAGTAACCACCTTCACCCATAGAACCCTTGTAAGCAACAGGGCAAGCCCTCATTTTGGTTTCCCACTCTGCAAAGGGAGAATAAAAGGAGAGGCAGTTGTTCTTTCATAAGACCCAATGAAAGGTGGCTGTGGTAAACATGACTCACCTATTCTGGTATCACTATAGAGGAATTTGGGGGGAAAAAACAAATCATCATTTGCTTTCCAAACATTGGATACAGACAGAGGTGCAACATTCTCACCTAAAAACACCAGGAAAGTCCCAACCCACTGCAAGCTACTGATGGGGTTGGAGAAGATCAGTACCGAAGCCAAGATGGTGAAGAACTTCCGCGTGGTTGTGATGATAGAACATGTCAGGGGGCCGAAGTACACCACGGTCATAAATATGAAGGTCTGAAATGGGACAGAAAAGACACAATTTAGATTACCCAGCATGCACTATAATAGTAGACACATAAGGGCCGATTTATAAAACGTTCACAAAGGGAGATGAAGGTCTCATAAATAGACCTCATAGTTGAAAGTCGAAAGACTCTCTCCTCCGGGAGATCCTGAAGTTTTCATCCACTGGGAAAGCAAATCAAAGCTCCCTGAGCAACTTTGCTCTTTTTTGAGTCAGGAGGACAAACATTCCAATTATCTATTAATCTTCTGCAGCTTACAGAGGCCTGGAAAACGGTCTACCCCTCCCCCCCCCCACGTGCCAATCACCAACCACCAGCACTATCGCATGCTCCTTCATACTTTGAAGTACCGGCCATTCTCTTTACTACTGCATAGAGCAGTGTCATGAAGTCATAATTTACAGAAGTGACCTGTGAGGATCTACTCATTTGTTGATATTCTTTCCTCACTGATCCTGCTACTGTGCTTTTCAAACGAGTAGAGTAACATCGACTTCAAGGCCAATCTTCTAATGCAACAACCAATCAAGGCAGCAAAGAGATGGGAGCAGTAGGAGAGCTTCACTTTGGGGCTAATGAGGTGTGTACAAGGGCTCATTGTATGGACAAACACAACTCCATGGCTTCCTTGTGGACCTGCTCCAGCACATTAGGAAAAGGTCTTGCTTGCTGCATTTTAATGCATTCCCCTTCACTGTCCCATTCCAGGAAAAAGGATCCACGCTGCCCATGTGTTCTTGTAGGTGTTATAATGAGAATGAACCTTAAAAGGACAAGGTCACTTCTTTTGAAGTTGTCCTTTAAATACACCCCCTCAGTGTAGATCCCATGCTAAAATACTGATCTTCATTCTCATTTCAAAGTTCTTCACTCAGTGGCCCATTCAGGCCAGGTCCTGTGCCTAGTTCATATGCAGGAACACACAGTGAAGACTAGAGATGCACCGATACCATTTTTTCAGGATCGAGTACGAGTACCGATATTTTGTTTTCGGTATTCGCCGATAACGAGTATCGGTGCCGTGTGCCCCGATTATCAGGAAGTCGGGCGGCGAATCATGACCCGTTGCCCGGCTTCCTTTTTAATTGTGAAGCCGGTGTTCTAAAGAAAGGTAACCTTCTTCACTTTAGGCTGACTGAGCAATCAGGAAGCCGGCCGGCGAGTTTTGACCCGCCTCCCAGCTTCCGGATTGGTCAGAAAGCCACGCTGCCTAGCAGCAAGTGACGAGTCATGACGTCTCACCGATTGGAAAGGAAGCTGGTTCCATGCTTCCTCGGCACTGCCAGTCAGAGGGAGATCTTCCTCTGACCAGAGGTTCTGATATCAGAGGTAAGTATCAGAGCATTTGGGCGGGCACAAGTACTCACTCAAATACTCGGTATCGGTGCCTCCCTAGTAAAGACCTCAGGTACAGAGATGGCAGCTCTTGATGGAAGCCATGGACATAAAGACATGGCAATAGGGGAAAAACACTTCTAGAGTTGGATGCCCGTTCTAAGTTGTATGGGCACCAAACAAGTCTCTGCCCCAGTCTATAGCATTCTCTAATTCAGGAAACAAGAAGCCTCGTCATCACGGTTTACCTGTCCCAGGGCGCTGGTTAGACTGAAGAGCAGAATGTTGTAGATGATATAAGGGTAACGTTCTGTGAAGCTCAGGAATTCCCAGATTTCTCCAGTAAAAAAAATACCTGCAGAAGAACCAAAACAATGATAGATAACAAGAATATCTGGAAAACCCATTCCCTTCTATCACACACTGGAAGAGATGGATAACGCCACTGGATCTCATTTATTGAGCTGGCTTAGAGCACCTGTAGTCTCAAAAGGACACTAAACTCAGGAGTTAAACCTTAAAAATAAATTCAAGTACCTTAACTAGTAACAAAAATGTATCTTATTTGTGTATCACTCGGCTGTAGATCCTCAAATCATTTCTGAATTGGTGCGGACACTGTCCTTCCCCTTGGAGGGTGACTACTTCTGTTCCCCATGGTCCCTGTGTGTTGTAAAGTAGTCACCACTCCAAGCTCACTCCCGTGATGGACTACAATCTTAATACAAATGAGTAAACCAAACATGAGATTGTAGTCCATCCCAGGAGCGATCTTCGAGCGGTGACTACTTTACAACACACAGGGACCATGGGGTACAAGTGTTCGCTCTACTACAGACTTGTAAACTGTGTCTCCCTGAACCTGCACCGAGGCATTCTCCTTGGTCTGCTATGCACTCATTGGCCTGCTGTCTAAATATAGATAGCGAGTGTGACAGCGCCACCTTGTGGCCTGTTTAGTGCAAAGCATCAACCACTCGCTTCATGTTGGCCATTCCCTAAAAAACATAGCTGCGATGTATAAAGGGCCTCTGTACGACCAAATTAAAATGTACCAACATTAGACAAACCTTCCATGATATACATGAATTATTAAGACGGATCTACAATTCATCATTCATGAAGATGAGGGAACATTGGTGCCGTTTGTAGCCCACCATGCAGAAGGGAGAATAACCATAAACATTGATTTGTACAATATCTACATACATGTATATTTTTTATCATAAGTCAAATGAATGAACTTCAGTCATCATTTATGAAACCATTTAGGCAACCTGAGCACTCCACTCCAGACGTTGGAAAGACTGACAGCCCTGATTCCCAGAGGCATTAGGGGATTTGTAGTTTCACCACAGCTGGAGTGTCAACGTTGCCTACCCCTGATAGATACCCAGTGTCCACATTATTAGGTACACTTATCTAATGGCACCCTTTAGGGCAGGGGTGGGCAACTCCGGCCCTCCAGCTGTTGTGGAACTACAAGTCCCATGAGGCATTACAAGATTCTGACAGCCACAGGCATGACTCCCAGAGGCAAAGGGATCATGGGATTTGTAGTTAAAGCACAGCTAGAGGGCCGGAGATGCCCACCCCTGCTTTAGGGGGTAACCCAGTCAGGACACTATCTGCATTGAGTGTGCATGTTCTCCCTGTGCTTGTTGGGTTTCCTTCGGGTATTCCAGTTTCCTCCCACACTCCAAACACATACTGGTAGGGTAATTGGCTTTTGTCTAAATTGGTCCTATTGTAGGTGTATGTATCCATGCGAGATAGGGACCTTAGATTGGCAGCTCCTCGAGGGCAGGGACTGATTTAACGTGCTGGTGCTGAAGATAGATATATAATAATCTATAATAAATAATTGCATCCCATAGGATGACGTATATGAGAGTACCCACCCTGGCATCTGCATGTCATAGCAGAAATTGAGATTGGTCAGCTCAGGCAGTACGTTTCTAATCTACAGCAATCCAATTTCAATGATCCCGTGCCCACTGTACCCTTATCTACCTGGAAGCTGGTGTGGTCTACTGAACCTGTGGACCCTCATCAAGGTTTATCTTTGAGCTGCCATTGCTGTGCTGCAATATTTAAGTAGCTGTGGATAAATCTGACCCGACTCCTCTGACATCACAACAACAGGGATGTATTGTGGCTTTGTACATTCTCTTCATTAATTATAGTCAGGACTAAAAAGACACAAAGACTTTTTTTGCTGAAACATTGAAGCTCCTCTTAAACCACCAGGTGCCCTCTAGTCTCCTTTTCTCAGGTCCTGCTATAGATCATTCTCAGATTTGCTGAAAGAAGCATTTGTTCACATACAGTAGCTCTAACAGAAAAGCTAAAGCTGAATGAAGAGTGATGTGAAGAGTCCATATCAGACAGATCAGTCCCACGTTTTGTTCAACCAGGCAAACAAACCCTTAAATCAAGCAGCGTGTGCGGCCTTGTCTCCTTCGCTAACCCGTAGCGGCCGAATTATAAATCTTCCGCCCAGTGAACAGCAGAGCAAATGCCAGTCGCACGGTACTACCGCCACTAGATGGTGCTGGGGAGCACAGGAAATTCCTATACTCCTCAGCTGCATCTAGTGGCTTCAGAGCCATGAGAAAGGCTAGCTATACCTAGCTATACAAAGGGCAGATTTGTCAGCCCCATAGTGTTCTGGGCATCCTTTAATTACATTATTTTCTATGTAATATACAGTAATCAGGCATTTTTGTGAACAGAACTGACCTAGAATTGATGTTTTTGGTTTTGTGCACCGATCTCTGTGACCCCTAGAAACTGCAGAACCTAAGAATCCCTGAAGGGCACCTTAAAGGAAACCTGGGACGGGGAAATATGTAACCTGCCGCCGCTGAACCATTTCTATAAATGCCAATGGCCTGGCTGCCTGTGGCTTAAATAATATCTGTGTTGCTGACAAAGAAGGTCGGCCCTGCCTATGAAGCTGGGTGGTTCATGTTGTAATAATGGTGCACAGACATCAGATCGGTCACCCGGCAAGTTTCATTACATGTGAATAGTAGTCTATACATTGGCCGTCTAAATGAAATCAATACTGTACATTGTATATTTTAGAAGGGCGGCAGAGTAATTGCAGATTAAGGGTTTGCTCTGTCTAATGCAGGGGTGTGCAACTCCGGCCCTCCAGCTGTTGTGGAACTACAAGCCCCATGAGGCATTGCTAGACTGACAGCCACAGGCATGACTCCCAGAGGTCAATGCATTCATGAGATTTGTAGTTAAAGCACAGCTAGAGGGCCGGAGATGCCCACCCCTGTTCTAATTGCTAAATCGAACATTCTTTATATTTAAAGGCCAAGTCCATGCTCTGCTCCCCATCATTACTTACATTTTATAGACGTATTTCTCTCTGTCACATGATCTGCAGGCTCTTCTTTCTCTTTTGATCCTCTCTTTCAGTGGATGGCCTTCCATGATGCAGAGAGCTGCGCTGACATCATCACATCAGCGCCGCTCTCTGGATCATTACACTATGAATGCAGGGTGCCATGGTCACATCAGCGCCGCCCTCTGGATCATTACACTATGAATGCAGGGTGCCATGGTCACATCAGCGCCGCTCTCTGGATCATTACACTATGAATGCAGGGTGCCATTGTCACATCAGCTCCGCTTTCTGGATCATTATACTATAAATGCAGGGTGCCATGGTCACATCAGCGCTGCTCTCTGGATCATTACACTGTGAATGCAGGGTGCCATGACCACATCAGCGCCGCCCTCTGGATCATTACACTGTGAATGCAGGGTGCCATGACCACATCAGCGCCGCCCTCTGGATCAAAGAGGAATTACTGTGGGGCTCAGCACCACAGAGGAGGTGAATATTTCAGGACAGAGATGCTCCTTGATTGTCCAATCACAGGATGCAGGCAGGGAGGCAACCCTCTTATTTAATTTTAAAAAATGCTGGTTGTATGAGGAGTAAATACCTAGGAGGACCGTTTTATAAATATGCCCCCCCTAGGTTTTAGTTTTAATTCTCAAGTTTATTAAAACAGATCTTTTATATCCTTTATCAATATTTATATTTTACAATTAAAGCGCCTTTTAAAATTATTTATGTAGAGAAATATTGAATATTGGATAGAACTATTTACATTTGGACCACCTGGAACCTCAAGCTTGCCACCGCCTGGCTGCAAGTGGTAAATATAAAGTAATTACTCGGAATATTTCATATTGGCGACATAAATAAATGCTAGATTTTTAGTCCTTGAGGCAACCAAAAAACGGAGCTATACACTACATTCCCTTCAAAGTAGAGATGGCCAACTCCGGCCCTCCAGCTACAACTCCCATGAGGCATTACAAGACTGAAAGTTACAGGCATGACGGGATTTGTAGTTAAAGCACATCTGGAGGGCCAGAGTTGTCCACCCCTGCTTTAATGGGATCCTTTGAGAACAAGAATAATGCAATGGTAAACATTTGGTCAGGTCACGTCAAGTATTTAAAAACAGAAGAACGTCATTTACCTGCTCCTAGGAAAAAGCTTGACCAGAGGTTGATATGAAGCATCATTTGGTTGGAGCCGGTCTGAAAATTTGCTCGCATGTGATCCTGAGACACTCCTGTAAGGCCATCCAGGGTCAGAGACAGCAACTGAGAGGATGGAACAGAACCCATTTAATAAAGATTGAGTCCCCGGGTGGCCCTTCCGTCATACCCCTTGTAGTCACGTTTGCAAACAGATGCATCCCAAATGGGTCTGGATGGATGCCAAGCTATACCACATAATTATATAACAGCATGTATGTGTTTATAATATGAATAAATACACGTTTTTAATGAATTGGTATAGCTTGGCATCCATAAAGCTCCATTTGGGATACATATGTGTGCAAACGATGGAACAGAAGACATAGAATAAATGTAGAAAATAAATATATTACAGTACATAAATAGCAATGCGCAGCGAAACAGCCGCCTACTACTACAGACATTGGAAGAACGGAATAGAGGAGGACCAAAGCAAGCCACCGGGACCCGCTATGAAAAATGACAGCCTTCCAGCCTTTATATATCACGGCAGCGAAGGCTATACACAAAATAGTTGCTGGAGAAACTAGCACCGAGGATGATTTCATAGCTTGCTGCTATTATTGTTAAAAATTTAACAATAATGATGTACTCTGTTCTCAACGATTTTTTTTAGGGATGTTCAGATACCAAGTATCGTACTCAGTACATGTACAGATACTTTTCCAGCTCCAAGACTAGACTAGAGAAAAATGCAAAAGTTAGGAGGCAGCTGTCATTTGTAAGGAGCACACGGAGCTCCTGGGATTTGTGCATCTCTGTGTTAATGTATGATTTGTTTTTTATTAATGTATATAAGTGATGCACCGATACCAGTTTTGCAAGTACAAGTACTTATACTTGTCCAATTACTCACAGATACAAGTACTGATACTTTTATGCTTAGTGTCATGTGACAGTTTTTATAAAACAATACAAACTAATGATTTCAGGACAGTGGTGGAGCGCCAGAGCCAGAGCCCAGTCCCAGCTGCAAACCTGGTAGTTCTCATGAAGATGCCAAATACCGGCACTGGTATCTGATTTGTTATCTGATCACAGAGGAATTTTAACCCCTTCATGACTGAGGCCCTTTTTTCCATTTATATAGATAATAACTATGCATTTTATTCTATTTGTCACGTTTAAAATAACACTAAAATTATTTCCGTTACAAAGAAAGTTATTTATAAATGCAACAAAGCCTTTTTTTTCCAATTTTGTGCTTTTTTTTATTTAAATGCAAACACTAAATTAAACTAAATGGAAAAAAAGAATTAAATAAATGTTAACGGTTAAAAAATAGAAAAATCAACAAAAAAATTATAATATAATAACTAATAGAAAGGTTGCTTTAACTTTAATCATATGCAGTTGATGTTCGTCCCTTTGATCTGTAGATGAAACAGAGAGATACAAATACCGGGTTACATTTGTATCTCTCTGGACAGTGTTTATACCATGTAAGGACAGTCCATTTTTTGGCAGCGGCAGCTTTTACAGCTTCTTTATGTGCACAGCAGCTCCCAGCTATTGTGATTAAAAGTGCACCGAAATGGAAAAATTTCAAAGCCGAAACGAAACCGAAATAAAAAAAATTGTCAGGCCGAAACCGAAAATGTTTGTTATTTTAATTTTTTCAAATATTTGATTTTTATTTATTTTTTATAAACTTTTTAATTTTTCTATATTTATTAATTTTTTATTAAATATTTGTATTTTTTACCTTACTTTTAGGGGCTTTGGGAAATATTTGGGGGTCTAAACAGACCCCTTATATTTCCCTTTTAAAATAGAAAAAGAGATTGAGAACACAAAGTCCTCAATCTCTTTTTCTGTATCCGCTGTTATCAATGAACAGGAATCCTCTATGAGTGTTCCTGTTCATTCGTAACATGAGGACAGAGTATGTTTACTATAACCACAATCATGAATGAACAGGAAGTGATGTAGATCACTTCCCACCCATTCATAATTGAGGATATAGTAAACATACTCTGTCCTCAATTATTTACAAACACTCACTGATCACTGACTACTTATACCCCTCTCTTTTCTGACACGCTGTCACAGGAGGCTGAGCGAGCGGTGCAGGGAGGAGAGCTCAGCCTCCTGCGACAGTGTGAGATGTCTCCGCCCACACACCGATCTGCCGGACTGTGAGAGGAGGCTGAGCGGTGTGGGAGGAGAGACGCCGCCCGCTCACAGCGTTCGGCCAGCTGTCACACTTTCTCTCCTCCCGCTGGGACACAGAGCAGCACCCAGCGGGGAGGAAAGAAAGCAGGGATGCGCCGATGTATCAGCAGGAAAATGGCACTTTCGGCATTTAGCCAACAGTGCCATTTTCGGCGGCCGAAATATCGGTGCATCCCTAATCGTGATGCCTCTTAAAAATGCTGTTGGCTTTTGGTATGTATTACCCCCGAAGCTGTACGAATTGTCTACCGACAGCAAAAGCTTTCACATTCCCATTTGAGCTGCTGAATCTTTACACATAGATAGTTTTTAAGTTTACTATAACCACAATCATGAATGAACAGGAAGTGATGTAGATCACTTCCCACCCATTCATAATTGAGGATATAGTAAACATACTCTGTCCTCAATTATTTACAAACACTCACTGATCACTGACTACTTATACCCCTCTCTTTTCTGACACGCTGTCACAGGAGGCTGAGCGAGCGGTGCAGGGAGGAGAGCTCAGCCTCCTGCGACAGTGTGAGATGTCTCCGCCCACACACCGATCTGCCGGACTGTGAGAGGAGGCTGAGCGGTGTGGGAGGAGAGACGCCGCCCGCTCACAGCGTTCGGCCAGCTGTCACACTTTCTCTCCTCCCGCTGGGACACAGAGCAGCACCCAGCGGGGAGGAAAGAAAGCAGGGATGCGCCGATGTATCAGCAGGAAAATGGCACTTTCGGCATTTAGCCAACAGTGCCATTTTCGGCGGCCGAAATATCGGTGCATCCCTAATCGTGATGCCTCTTAAAAATGCTGTTGGCTTTTGGTATGTATTACCCCCGAAGCTGTACGAATTGTCTACCGACAGCAAAAGCTTTCACATTCCCATTTGAGCTGCTGAATCTTTACACATAGATAGTTTTTATTTTTATTATATTATAATAAAAAATGATTTTGTTTTAGGAATGTTGATGTGAGCGTTTTGTATCCAGTCCTTACCAGTAATAATTCCCCGTAGCCAAACACGTGGTCAGAGGGGCCGGAATTCTTGGGTTTGTACATGAACAGGGCTACACCCGCTACAATGAGGAGGACACATAGGTACTTGGTCAGGGGGTACTTCTTTCTGAGGATGGTAACACCGAGGAGCATAACTGAGGAAAGAGGAGAACCGATTATTAGAAAGTCATACGTACTTGACACTGAAATATCGGAAGAAGTGAAAGCTATTCAGCAAGCAATGCAACTATGCTTAAAAGAGAACTATGGGGTAAGTGTTTTAAATCCCCTCCATAGTGTATAGGACGTGAGCCACGTCAAGGGACATACCATCGCTGGCGCATAGAAGGAAGCAGGCTGGAGGGAGCGCTGTCACAGCCAGGTGAGTACAACTTCATTATTTTCCTCCCTAGAACCAAAATGAGCAGTTAACCCTGACAGTAGCCCCACTGCAAGGGTTAATAAAAATTGTGCCCAGACTTCTTTATTAAAGAGGTTTTACATTCTGCATCACAGATCATAAACTTTAATTCAAAGTTCAAGCAGGATACATTGACAGCAAGGAGGCTGCAGGGGAGCTCGGGATGTTCTTACAGGCCAGCGTCAGACCTGTTTCTGTCCCCATACCAGACTATAGGAAGTCAGAAGCAAACGGATGGAGCTTAAGAGGAAGTCAAATTCACTTGTCAATCAACTCTCAATGATCATCGATTTCAAGTGCCGGCTGAATGCAAGTGAAATCAAGCTGCCCATCGACACAAGCCCTAGTTATGGAGGAAATCTTTTCTGTGGGTTGACTGAGAAAGAGGAACTCGATGAGCACAGTGGCGTAGTGATTAGTGCTTCTGCCTTGCAGCACTGGGGGTCCCCGGTTCGAATCCCGGCCAGGTCACTATCTGCAAGGAGTTTGCATGTTCTCCCTGTGCTTGCGCGGGTTTACGGATTCCTCCCACACTCCAAAGACATGCTGGAAGGTAAATTGGCTCCTCTCTAAGTTGGCCCTCTATGTATGCATGTGAGATAGGGACCTTAGACTGTTAGCTCTTTGACTGATGTGAATGTACACTGTGCATAAATTGCCAGCGCTATATAAATACCTGTATAATAAATCTCACCTGGAATAGGTTTGCATGACTTCCCCAACACCTGCAAAATAAAGGATATATATAAAGCATATATTAATGGAAACATCTCACTGTTCATTACAAGCACCCGTCACTGGGATACAGTAATTCCACAGCAGACACCTACAGATACCTATACATACTCTGCTTTGGTCTCTGGTATGGCCTAGGAGCCCCAAGAGTTGTGTTACCCCGTGTACCAATTAGGGATGCACCAATACCAGTTTTTCAGTATCAAGTACCGATATATATTTTTGGTACTCGCCGAATACCGGGAGTCCCATTTGGGAGTCGGGGGGTGTTTAATGACTTGTCAGCCTGGCTTCTTGATTAGCCGGCAATCTGTCACCATACACCCTAGTCACCAGGTGACGGGGAAGCATGGAGCCAGCTTCCTGACCAATCAGGAAGGCGTGTGGCGAGTCATTACATGACGCCCGGCTTCCTGTTTGGCCGGGAAGCCGGCTCCACCAGGTGACGAGCAAGCATGGAGTCGGCTTTCTGGCCAATCAGGAAGCCGGGGGGAAGCCAGCTCCATGCTCCCTGGTGACGATGGGGCATGAAGCCGGCCAATCAGGAAGCTGGGCGGTGTGTAATGACTCGCCGCCCGGCTTCCTGATACCAGAAGTTTTCGGTATCGGGATAAGCATTGGGAGCATTTGGTCGAGTACTCGGCCAAATACTCGGTATCGGTGCATCCCTAATTTTTAGTAGTGTGCTATATAAAATGACTAACAGAGCACCATGGGGGTAGCTGGCCCTTGAAAACTCTTCATTAAAAAAAAAATATTAAAAAGGCCCTTTTTTAAATAAATAAATAAAAAAAGGGGGGCCCCTTATGTTCACTGAATAAATCTGGAAGCGATGATGATTTTGTCACTTCCAGGTTCTGAGCTGTCATTCCCCAGGGTCTGGGGGGTTTTAAGTAATCGTCAGGCCTGACGTGCATTTTAGCATGTGTGCGAAAACCCAAAAACGGCCCGGGCAGCAAAAAGTTCCAAAACAGAACTTGTCAAAACCAGCAATAGATTGCGACTTACCTGCGTGGGGTAGTTGACATACAGGAGTGCTGAATTACTGGATACCATGGCCCCTACATAAGACAGTGAACAAGCCGCATAGAGCCAGCTCTGTGTGCGGTCTGCTTTTCCCTTTGTCTCAAAGAATCCGATCACTGGAGAGAAACACACACACAGATGTATAAGGCAGAGCGCAGTGGTAACACTCCATTCAAAAGTACAGTGACCCAGAAGGTACAAAATACTGGAGGGTGTGGGAACATGATTCGATGCCTACAACATAGGAATGCATCATCTAACCAGCAGCAGAAACTGGAATCTGATTGGTCAGCAACACCTCCTCCATGTTTCCGTAGCACTAGATTCTATTATATTCGGTTTTATGTATGAAGGCAGAGGGATGTTGGGATTTGTAGTTAAAGTAGTTCCAAGCCCACCCCTGGCTTAGAAGG